CAGTCTCTCCTCAATCCCATAAGATGAAGTTGCAAACTCCTCGTAAAAGCTCACTTTCTGGAGCTAAGAAAGATTTGTGGGTTGCTATACGCGAAGGGTCTTTGGTTGATGTTGAATCAGCACTGAACATATTGAAGAAGAGCGGTGGCATTCTGAATTTAAGGAATGCATGTGGTCTGACTCCTCTGCATATTGCAATCTGGAGAAACCACATTCCTATTGTTAGGAGACTGCTTGCTGCTGGTGCTGATCCTGATGCTAGGGTTCGTCACCTACCCTCTGTTTGTGTCTTCGTATATATGAGCATTTATAATCTGATAGTTGTAGTTATTCCTTTCTATTTGCTTCAGGATGGAGAATCTGGTTGGAGTAGTCTTCACAGAGCTTTACATTTTGGCCATCTCGCGGTGGCTAGTGTACTAATTGACTCAGGCGCTTCTTTTACACTAGAAGATATAAAATCGAGAACACCAGTTGACTTGGTCTCAGGCCCAGTGGCTCAGGTCATTGGTGAGCAGCGTAATTCAGGTTGCTAATCTCTTCTTGAACTTTATGGGAATAACTTAACTTTTGGTCACCCTTTTTCTCACAACTTTAAGAAGCTGAAATGCCGTTTTTACCTTGTCAGTGTCTACAGAGGTGTTCAGCTGGGGTAATGGTGCAAACTACCAACTTGGAACTGGCAATCAAGATGTTCAGAAGCTACCCGGCAGAGTTGATTCCCTGCATGGTTGTTTTATTAAGTCGGTCTCTGCTGCAAAGTTCCATAGTGTTGCCATTAGTTCCCATGGAGAAGTCTACACATGGGGATTTGGAAGAGGAGGCCGCCTTGGACATCCTGAATTTGACATTCACAGGTATTCATTGTTGCTTCACAAGGACTTATTTTCATTCCTACAAATTTTCGATGATCCCAAATGAATTTTACTTTCTGTTTTTTTTTTTCCAGTGGTCAAGCTGCAGTCATCACTCCCCGGAAGGTGATATCTGGTTTAGGAAATCGCAAAGTGAAGGCAGTTGCAGCGGCTAAGCACCATACTGTTATTGCTACTGAGAGCGGGGACGTATTAACTTGGGGTTCCAATAGAGGTTAAACTTCTATTAGGCTTCTTATTGTTCAGTGAATGGTATCTCTAACTCAACTTCTAGTTTAGACCTACCTCTAGAGTCTGATGTTGTTTGTGATGCTCATGTAGAGGGGCAGCTTGGTTATACCTCGGTGGATACTCAGGCAACACCTCGCAAAGTGACTTCGTTGAAAGCGAAGATTGTAGCTGTGTCTGCAGCAAACAAACATACCGCTGTAGTTTCTGATTGCGGTGAAGTTTTCACTTGGGGATGCAACAAGGAAGGTCAGCTTGGTTATGGAACCTCCAACTCAGCATCAAACTATTTCCCCAGATTGGTTGATTACTTGAAAGGAAAAAAATTTACGGCTATCTCATCTGCCAAATACCACACTCTCGTGTTGAGAGAAGATGGAGAGGTAAAAATCCTGACTACTTCATGTTAAAGTTAAAACGTTTTAACATGATTATGTCCATGTGAAAGATCTTATGTCGAATATGAGAACTCAATATGGAATGTGGATAGAGATTTACGTTTCTTTAGTACTTCTTTCTTTCTTCTGTAACCAGGTGTACACCTGGGGTCATCGGCTGGTGACTCCTAGACGTGTTGTTGTTTCCCGGAATCTAAAGAAAGCTGGGAACACGCTGTTGAATTTTCATCGAAGGAGACCTCTTCGTGTGACTGCAATAGCTGCTGGAATGGTACACAGCATGGCTCTAGCAGAAGATGGTGCCTTGTTTTATTGGGTTTCTTCTGACTCCAATCTTAAAAGCCAACAGGTTAGTATTAACCTTGTCTTGTAATTAAAATTAAATAACTTAATGTGGTTCTCTCAATAAGAATCTAAAAATAATATTCCTCTGCAGTTGCATTCTCTGCAAGGGAAAACAGTTGTGAGCATTTCAGCTGGTAAATACTGGGCATCTGCTGCAACAAGTACAGGTGAAGTTTACATGTGGGATGGGAAGACAGGTAAAGATGTGCCACCGTCTCTTTCTCGCATCCACAACTTGAAAAGGGCAACCACAGTTGCTGTTGGTGAAACACATCTTCTGGTTGTGGCTTCTCTGTATCATCCTGCCTATGCCCCTGCTGCGCTTACGAAGTATCTGACTGTGCAAGCGGATGAAATTAGGGGACAACAACATGAAGAACTGGACGAAGGTTTTATGTTTGATGATGTGGAATCTGTTAACGTGTTACCATCCGCGCAACATGATAATCCCAAGGAGCGCACAGTACCTAGCTTGAAAAGTTTATGCGAGAAGGTGGCAGCGGAGTGTATAGTAGAGCCTCGAAATGCTATTCAACTGCTTGAAATTGCAGATTCACTTGAAGCACATGACCTCAAGAAGTACTGTGAGGTAATGCTAACCTTCCTTAAGTCAATAAACCGCAGAGGTATGATGTTTTGTCTGATGATTACTTTACACTGTGTTCTTCTTGCAGGACCTTGTAATCCGAAACCTTGACTTTATTTTGACTGTTTCGCCCCAAACAATTGCAAACACATCACCTGATGTTCTTGCCAATCTTGAGAAACTACTAGATGACAGATCATCTGAAGCATGGAGCTCACGACCACTTCCAACACCAACAGCCACATTCCCTGTTGTTATAGATAGCGAAGAGGAGGAAAGTGAGAGCGATATGTTACGAACTCGTGACAACCATGTGAAACACTTTTCCTGCATTACGGAAGGAGGAGCCTCTCGAATGGATTCCTTCTTGCAACCAGAAGATGAGCTGGCTCAACGTAATTCCAAAGAAGTCCGAGCTTTGAGGAAAAAGTTGCAACAGATTGAGATCCTTGAAGCAAAGCTAACAAGAGGACAAGTTCTTGATGGTCAACAAATAGCAAAACTTCAGAAGAAGCTTGATATTGAGATTTCACTTGTAGAACTTGGTATCTCTGTTGAAGAGTCACCAGAGGCGAAATCATCGTCACTAGATGGAAAGGCCAACAAGAAGGCTGATAGTTTAAGGAAAAAGAAGAAAAAGGGGAAACAAAGGTTTGCACAAGTTGAGACTCTCCCTGACTTTGGTGAAGTTAAAGTGGAAATAGATACAATGCAGAATATAGAAACTGAGGAAACCTCTGAAACTATCAATGCTATGTTGGATGTGACGATGGTTAGTGAGTTAGCCAAAGAATCAGACTCTGTGTCACCCTTGCAGAAGAAAGACAATCCACCTGATTCACCGAGAAGCAAGAAAGTTGCAACGAAAGCAACCAAGAAGAAGAACAGAAAGGGAGGACTGTCCATGTTCTTGACTGGTGCTCTTGATGATAACCCTAAACCTGTTGTTGCCCCTCCTCCACCAAAGCCCAAGAACGAAGGTCCTGCATGGGGTGGTGCTGCAAAGGCTTCAAAAGGGTACTCTTCTCTTCGAGATATTCAAGACGAACAAAGCAAGACTCCTCAGCCACATGAACCTGTTAGGACTAGTAAACATCAGTTAGGGGATGAGTCTTGTGGTAAAACCGAAGGAAAGATACTACTGAGTTCTTTCTTGACTTCGAAGCCTATTCCTGTGGAATCAACAAGAAGTTTGCAGCAATCTGATTTTGAAAGAGGAACTCCTCCTTGGGCTTCTTCTGCAACTCCTCCTCACGTTTCTCGACCTTCTCTCAGAGATATCCAGATGCAGCAGGTACGTTAATTATCTCTTTGGCAAGAGCTCAAAAGAAACAAACAAGATTGTTTGCTGCTTATTTGTTTTTGTTTCGGGTACTAATGTAGGTGAAGAAGCAGCAGTCTCTGTCCCATAGTCCAAAAACAAAAACATCAGGCTTCACTGTTACAACAGGGCAAGGATCTCCATCAGAATCTCCTGGAAGTAACCGCTGGTTCAAACCAGAGACCGATGCTCCATCATCAATCCGCTCTATTCAGGTCGAAGAAAAGGCCATGAAGGATTTGCGCCGCTTCTACAGCAGTGTGAAGGTAGTCAGGAACCAGAACTGACAAGTGAGATGACTGAATGAGACATTCACTTTTCTCAACAGGTCTCATTCATCAGAAGTGTTGTAGTTGTAGTCAGTTGTACTTGTACAGATGCTGTCTCGACTGTACATTGGGGTGCCCCTAAAGTCGTCAGCCATTTCTTTTTTTTCTTTTAAGTTGTTAGCTGTGAGAGTGATGCTCATGTTCATGTACATCACTGGTGTACCTGAAGCTCTTTATTAGTCTTCACAAACCATTTTAGATGTGCTCTCGAAATAACAAATAAAAAGCTTTGATAAATATTTTTTTACAGAAGTGTTGTATTTGGTGGTAACAGACCCTTGAGACAGTATATATACGTCCCTCATTTTTGTCAAGTTCTAGATGTTAAGGAGTTAGTCTTGGCTCTTGAACTATGCACATTCATCTAAAAAAGCGATAAAGACACTTCATTCACAGATGATCACACTTCTAGTTCGGCATAGACATGTGATTTCAGGTTTCCTTGTGTTGCAAGAAAGGTATGAGAGCAGATACAGACATTGTTTGTGTTTGATTTAATTCTTCTCTCTATGTAACTGATACAGTTTGACTAAAAAAGTTGAGTTGCAATCTGTCATCAACAACATTTACCGATTTTTTTGTTGTTACATAAAATATCAAATGAGATCTGAACTATTGACCCTAACTTTACGTTTCTAACAATCTCATTTTGGGCTCTCTGCTTTTATAAGGTAATGAAGCGTCTTCTCTCTTCTTCTCTTTGTATTATTTATCTTATTAATTGTCTCGGATTATCAAAGGAACCACAAAAGAAAAGAGAGCAAGAGAGATCTGGGTTTATATGATAAAACCAGGTTTGTTTTTCTTCTAATTAAATTCTAATTGTGGCCATTTCTTGAACTTTATCTTGAATTTGGTTGATTGTTCAACAAGTTTTTTTTCCCCTATCTTATAGATCTCTAACCAAGTTCTCCGACAATGAACGACCTCTTAAAGGTTTGTCTTATTTTTCTCTGTTTCGCTTTGGACATAACGTGATCTTGTTTCCCTGTAATTATTGTGTCTTTGTTAAAACTTAAAAACAAAACGCTTACGTGCAGTTTATACAGACAGAGAAGTGTTTGAGATCTTTAATATCATCACTAACTTCTTTTTAGAGAAATAGAACCTCGTAGGGCTTATTACTTGCGCTACAAGATTTGTTATGATATTTAACTTAAAATATGTGACAAGTACCTTTTGAGTGGACAGGGTTCTTCAGAGTTCTCGAGAGATAGATCTAATAGAAGCGATATTGAGTCAGGACATGGCTCATGTAACTCTGGAGATCTTGGCCTCGCTGGTTTCTTCAATAAGGTAAGCTCTTCATTCCTCTGTAACTCTTCTCAGTCTACGTCAAGTATATATATATATATGCATTGAGAGATCATATTAACTGGTTAGGTCCAAGAAATCGAAAAGCAATATGAGAAGCTTGATAAGCATCTCAAGAAGCTTCAGATTGCACACGAGGAGACTAAAGCCGTTACTAAGGCTCCTGCAATGAAATGTAATACAAAATGCGTTCGAGTTTGAAGACTTTGAAACAAGTTTTTGATCCAAGATTTTATGGTTTCTCTGTGTTTTTGTTTTTTTTTGTTCTGTAGTAATCAAACAGAGGATGGAGAGAGATGTTGATGAAGTGGGAAGAATCTCTCGTTTCATCAGAGGAAAGATTGAAGAGTTAGATCGTGAGGTTAGGCTTAGAGTTAGAGGTGCATTCATTATAGCCTCTCTTTTCATGATCTGTTCTTCTTTGTTTTTTACTCTAATTGGTTTCTACAGAATCTTGAGAACCGGAGTAAACCGGGTTGTGGGAAAGGAACTGGTGTAGACAGAACAAGAACAGCCACAACTATGTAACTATTGTTACGCTTCAAGACTCTCTCTCTCTCTCTCTCTTTCTCTGTTTTACTAATGAGTTTTCTTTTATCTTCAGTGCGGTAAAAAAGAAGTTCAAGGACAAGATATGTGAATTCCAAGTAAGCTGGTTTTGCAATTTTCAAAAGCAAAAGCCCTTTTAGAAAGAAAGTTGTCGTAAGCTTTTTAATTTGTTTGCTGCAGACTCTAAGACAAAACATTCACCAAGAATACAGAGAAGTTGTAGAGAGGCGTGTGTTTACAGGTTTTTATATTGATAGTCTGTCTTAAAGATTCAACTGTTTTATTATTAATGTTCTTCTGATAGCTAAATCATTTTTTTTGTGTGTGTTAATGTTTTGATTCTTAACAATGGTAGTGACTGGCCAACAAGCTGATGAAGAGGCAAGGACTTATTGTTTATTTTTTTCTCAACTTCAGTCTACTAAATTGCTCATGATTATTGTTTTGGGGATGTGTAGACGGTTGATCGATTGATTGAAACCGGAGACAGTGAGCAGATTTTCCAAAAAGCAATCATGGAGCAAGGACGAGGTCAGGTTGGTAACATGATTACTTGTGCAACAAGACAACAGTTTACGTGTATAGTAAGTTAGGTTGATTTCTATCTCCACCCACGCAGATAATGGACACACTGGCTGAGATTCAGGAACGCCATGATGCTGTCAGAGATTTAGAGAAGAAACTCCTTGATCTACAACAGGTAAAACCTCTAATCCCATTTACCAAAAATTCTCAAAATAATATAAATGATTCACCTCTTTTTGGTTGGTAGGTGTTTCTTGATATGGCTGTGCTGGTGGATGCACAGGGAGAGATGCTAGACAACATAGAGAATATGGTAAACAGTCTCTTTATCATCTTTACAAAACCTTGAGTTTAGGTTTTTTCAAACCCCTTCTTGTTCTGTTTCTGCTCTAACAGGTCTCAAGCGCTATAGATCATGTTCAATCAGGAAACAACCAACTAACAATGGCACTAAAGAAACAGAAAAGTTCACGGAAATGGATGTGCATTGCCATCCTAATCCTTCTTATCATCATCATCATAACCGTTGTCTCTGTTGTCAAACCATGGACACAGAAACAGAAACATGGTGCCTAATTTTTCCTTCTCTCTGCCCTGCTTCTGGAGCTTCTGTATACTACAAGAGTATAAATTGCATATACAACATACATGTATCACCCCATCAACCAACATCCACCCACTGATGGAAAATGATGTACTCTTTTGACTGATTCAATGAATGAATTAACTATTCTACAACGGCCAACAGCTTTCAGTGAACATCCGAGTCTAATGAATATGAATGTAAAAAGTTGAAATTTACTTCTTTTATGTATCTGTAATGAGTCAAAATAATCCAGAAAAAAAAACTATTGGGGAAAAAGAGACACGAGAATCTGAATGAACCTTTATCAATATCAAGTCAAGTGATACATACAGAAGACCAGAATTTTGCAGTATATAACTGTTAATAATCACAAGAGGGAAAATCTTTCTTCCAGATTTGGGCTTATGTTTTTTTTATTGTATGTGATAAATAATCAGTTTATTATTTATGTATATCTACAAATTCAGATAATACATTATCTTGCAGATTTTCTTTCCATATTTTGAAAAGAAAGTTAACTAATCCAACCTCATTTTCATTCTATAAAATGGTTCCCACAACGCTGATCAGAAATCATTTTGATTTTTTTTTAAAAATTTTGAAACATTTATTCCTTGCTAGTATACATATTTAAAGATCTATTATTCGTTTCGCTGTCTTCTAAAAATAATCTCAAAATCCACCAAATTTTTCGAAGTCATTCTTTTCTATTATACTTATTTAAAAATCCATGAATCAAATTATAGTGTTCAAAAAAGTATCTCTCACTAGTTTATTTTTTAAATATACATAAACTAAATTATAGTGTTGAAACTGTTTAACAATCATTTTGAATTGTTTCGTCGTCTCGAGTGGATAACATAAAAATTCATTATTGTTTTCAGGGTCTTAGACAAACCCCTTATGATTTTTTTGAAAATTTCAAAAATTGTATTGAAGCCTCAACAGTCTTCAAGCCAATCAAACCCTTGATTTAAATATAGAAGTCCATTAAAATTCAAAATAACTGAATTCTAACAAAATCAGTTGAACATTAAATAACAGTAGATTTTAATTGACTTTTACAAATACACAATAATTAATACCGGATTTCATTTTGAAATTAAAATCTATCTTATTCCATTAAATTACCATTTGTGTTTTTTTTCCATGCTTTGATAACAAAGTTGAGTAAACAAATATGTGACTAAAAGTTGACCAAGAAAGAAAACCGACACATTAATAATACGTGGTTAGTCTGGACTCATTTCAGTAGAAGTTAGGATACCCTTGTATAATTCAAAAATAAAAAATTGACTAAATCAATACCACTTTTATTCTATAAAATGGTTCCCACAACACTGATCATATTCCATTACTTTTTAATTAACATCTAAAACAATGGAAATGAAGCTTGCTTTTGTTATCGTCTTAGTTATTGCATCTGGTAAGTTTTGAATTTCATATATAAGAGAAATGTTTAACACACAAATTTTTATACATAACAAGATACTGGTTTGGTTTTGTAGTGATGATTACTGAGGCTAAAAGGTTATTACCCGAAGAAACTCATGAACGTATGTTGCATGGTGGTGAATATTTGCAGCATGGTGAATCTTGGCTGCATGATGTGAAAGAAGTACGAATTTCTAACTGTGAGAATGGGTGTCGTAAGTTATGTGTTGATCCATTGTATCCATTTGTCGTAATATGTTGTACATGCAATTGATCTTTTTAAAAATCGAAGAAATAAGAGTATATGTCAAGCTCTTAAGTTATATCGTTATATCAAAATATATAATTACAGTCATTATGTCATTCAAAACATCTCAAAATAATATTCTAGGAGTTACTGTAACGAACGCTTGTGTGGTAGACTGTATTATTCTTATAAGTGCAAAGATCACACAATCATTTTCTTTTAACAAAGGCGTGATTTTTTCTGCTTTGGGTTGATTGGTAAGTGTGTTCAGAAAAAAAAAAAAAAAAAAAGAAGGTTGATCGGTAACATTCCAATTTCCAAAGGTAGATACTAGTAACAACTATGAAAATCCGTACGAATAAAGTATTCATCCGGATCCGTGGCGCAATGGTAGCGCGTCTGACTCCAGATCAGAAGGTTGCGTGTTCGATTCACGTCGGGTTCAAAGCCCCGAAATTAATTCCGGAAATATTTTTCTTTTGCTATGTCTAGCTTTGACGTGACTGATCTCTTCTTCCTTCCTCCTATCCATAGCTCCCACTGTTCTTCTCACTCGATTTCAGCTGGTCTTCTTCCACTTCAGTTTCCTGAGAATAATGATGGACCCGTTTTGGGCTGACAAAGGCCTTAGGTACTCTCATAAGCCCATATATTTCTTAAACCCTACTACTTGTTTAGTTAAGGACCCCCTCGATTAATACGCAAATGCCTTTTTTCTTTACATTTTCATAACTAATAGACCTTTTTTTTTTTTTCTTTTTTTTTTTTTTTTTGAAAGAATGTTNGGAAAACATATCTCAATAAGAAAACTTGATCACCATTTCTTCCATTCTCCACCAAACGTTCAAGAATAGTAGTCCAATGCGTTGTGTACCGACTTCCAAGCAGATTTTTTGTTAAATCCATCCATATCCGTTGAGAATAAGGACAACTGAAATAGAGGTGGTCCCTCGTCTCCACATGAGCCATACATAAAACACATTGTGCTCTGCGGTAGGACTCCATTTGCAAATTCGATCTCCTGTAGCTAGACGGTTGTGGATAGTAATCCAAGCCATGACAGAATACTTCGGGGTGGCTCTTGCAAACCAGAGACCCTTATACCAATCCACCTTTGGAGAAGGAGTTCGCGTCAATTGCCAAGTCTGGCATGTACTGAAATTAGGCTTAAAGTCATCCCTTGCTCCCTTCCAAAGCCTAACGTCATTCTCGTGTGATAAACCCTGCACTTGTAGACGCAAAATCTCATTTTCAATACCAATCAAGGCCGAGGTACGATGACGTCGACGTCGATACTTCTGTACAGCATATTCAACCGTTGAAGTCAGTTTAATACCCAGATCAATAGTACCACGAAGACCTGTAATATCAATGATCCTTCCTAGTGATGACCAGTCATCGTACCAAAAAGAAACCTTAGCTCCATTTTTAATTTCAATCCTCGAGAGAGAGCTTGCAAGATTCCTATATTTCAGAAGCTTCTTCCAAATCCACGATCCCAAAGAGCTCTTATCATTTGCTTGCCAGAAGGATCCTTTCCGAATGAGGTACCGGTCAACCCATCTAACCCACAGTGAATCTGATGAGAAAACAAAGAACAAAGAACCACTAATTATGTTAAATTTTCAGTGTTCGTAAATGGACAAGAAAAACAAATCACATTTCTCATCCACTCGAGGTAAAAGATAATGTTAAAAAAATCTGGAGTGAAACAAAATAAATTAAACGGAAAAAGTTTAAGACGGTTAGTATTTAAATCCAACACCAGAAATTAAAAGAAAAAAAAGTTATAGAGAGAGAGAGAAACAAACACATCGGAGGAGACGAATAGCATTTGTAACAAAAAAAAAAAAACAGAGTTTGGGCGTTTTTCGATCTCTTGTTTTCTTGTCCAAAAGGTCGAAACTTTGTCGGTTTTTCGGATCCGGGCTTTGCCCTAATCTCATGTTCTGATTCCTCTTCAGACATTAAATTTGAGTTTTCTCCTAAAATTTTCCGTATTTTGTTGCTGCTCTTTAGCGTTCCCAAATGGATTTGCGGGTTCCAGTTCTCTTATTCTTGTCTACGATATACTTTCCTTGTATGCTGGCTTCACCCTCCGTTTGCAATCACGAATTCGAACTCTTCCTTTTCGATTTAGACTCAAAATGTCCTGCTTCTCTCTATCCATCTCCTCCTATCAAGGTACCCTTTTCATCAACTTAGGGTTATTACGATTGAAAGATTGAGGCTTTACTCTCTTTTGTAATTATTATAGATGTGTCTCAATTTTGCAGGTAGATGGAGAGTCTCTGGATAGGTTAATGTCTTTGAAACGTGATGGGAATGTTTATGTTTCTTTACTCTTTTATGCTTCTTGGTGCCCTTTCTCACGTGCTGTCCGTCCTAAGTTTGATATGTTGAGTTCCATGTTCCCTCAGATACAGCACTTTGCTGTCGAGTATTCTCAAGCTCTACCATCGTAAGCACTACACAGTCTCTTTTTCTTTTCTTCTCTGCTACTTAGTTAAGCAAGGAAGTGGATTTGAATAACTCACATTAAGCAAAATTTGGTTACTCATAGTTTACTAGGATGTCCATAACTCAACTTTGTATTTTTTTTTAAGATTATTATGTGAAATGAATGTTATGTGTGTTTGCTGTTTACTTTAATGCATGTTCTTAGATCACTGCCTTGTGTATTTGTCCATGTGTTTAGTCTTTTCATTTGTCTTGCTAACTGATTTTAATTAATTGATTTGTTGCAGTGTCTTTTCAAGGTATGGTATCCACAGCTTACCTTCAATCCTGATTGTAAATCAAACTTCGAAGACGCGTTACCATGGTCAAAAGGATCTTACATCCCTTATTGAGTTTTATGAGGAATCTACAGGTGATTCACAACAACAAGTCTTTGCCTTGTGTTATATTTTATCTCAATTAATAATAACTGATGATTCTTTCGGTTTTGCCAGGTCTCAAGCCTGTCCAGTATGTAACCGAAGCTGAACCAACAACCAGCTTAGACGCGACCAATGGTAACCTGATCACATGGTTACGCAATGGGACATCTATCAGTGAAATATTCAGACAGGATCCTTTCTTGGTACTGTCTCTACTATTTATCTGTTTACAAATGGCTATCCTCGTCTTCCCCATAGCAGAATCACGCATGAAAGCCTTGTGGGCTTCTTACGTTTCCACTCTAAACCTGGAAAGATTTGGAGAGATTAGCCAACTGTTCAGCCGTGCTCTCCACATGGTTGATGTAAGGAGGCTATGGTTGAAATTAGGACTCGTCAAAACAAGGAACTTTCATGAAAGAGCAATGAATGCACAAGCATGGGCTTCATCACTTGCATCTGTCTCTCTAGGCCAAACTTCAGCTGACCAGTCCTGATCTCTTGATAGATCCTTCTAGTATCTTGTCAGCATTGGAAAGAGATAAGGTTTAAGTGTGTTCTTGAAATCTGAGAGCTCCCTTTACTTGAAATGTTATATTGACTTTCTGAGTTAATTTGTCTGCTTCAAAAGCTTGTAAATCCAGGAACATCTTGGCTTCTTTCTACCTGTGAATATTTGTCTCTCTTTTTTGTTTTATAACTCTGAGATGCCTCTTTTGACCTCATTTCTTTTACTGAATAATTTTGTTGAGTCAGCTAAAATTTCTCTAAAAATCTTCAGAGCAACTTTGTATTGTAATGTTTGTCCGAGTTCGGTTGGCTCCATCATGTAGCATTTTTATGTTTCATGGCTTACTTATAGCCTTGGCCATTATACACAAATTACTTGAGATGAAACATTGCAATCAACACAAAGTTGCAGTAATATTAAGGGTGGGATAAGAATGACACGTCAAAGACGAGTTATTCCCAGAACTATTAAACTCGAAAATATATAATTTGATCTATGGTTGGTGTGTTGACATCAAACTATGTAATTCTCCATTCTTTTATTACTAGTAGTTGCATTTATAGCACACAAGATTCTTCGCAATCCCCTTACAGTCTTATTGCAAACATGATATCATCAACAAAACTAAACCTTATCCAAAACTAATTAACTTTTTTTTAGCTAAGAAGAGTTGAAAACATACTAATATTAACAAACTGTTATTAAGAAAGTAACAAATAGGTATCAAAATCAGTAAGAGAAATAAGAAAGGGGAAAAAAGATATTCACGTGTATTAATTGGTGAAAAATAGGTGTAAATAGTTTTACTGTTATTAACAGAAAAATCTAGAAAACTAGTGGAATATTGTGATTAATCAATTAGTAATAATAATATGACTGCTCTAACCAGTGATCCAGAGGTTATTCTGAATTTATCAAAACATTATTAAAGCGAAGAAGACTTGAACATGGAGGAAGAATTAAAGGAGCTTGTCAAAGAAGGCAATCAATAATAGTTCTTGAAACAGGTCCCAAGTGGACCACTTATTCCTTTGTCATCACTTCATTGCGTTAGATAAGTTCCAATTCACTTTCGTCACCCACATCTCCAAAATAATACATTCAGAAAAATAAATTCATTTACATGTCTTGTATATATATGTCAACTTCAACTAATAACAGTCCATGTCTATATACATGATATTTTTTTTTTTCTAAATTTAAGAGCTTCTTGATAATACTATCATACGCGTTTTCAAGAAGCTTTTTCAAAGTATTTTGTGTGTATTTATAAACCATCCTATATACGTGTTACGTGGAAGAAAACATGAAAAGAAAGAGTCTCAAATCTGAATATTATATTGAACCAATTATTAATATAATTAATTATTATTCCAAAAGTTATCAAATCTAGTTTGAAAAAAATTCTATTAAAGGATCTTGAAACCACTTCACAAGGGGAAAATACCTAAGCCCACTTGGCTCCAATAATTCAAAAGATCTCATTTTCTCAGATTAATGTCAAAACAAATAAAATCTTCTCTTTCTCTCTAGAAACTTGTGAAACCCTCATGGAAGCTCAAATGAGATCATCTCAAGGAGACATGGATCTTGATGAGTGGGAGTTACTCCCCAAAAACTGTTTTAAGGATCTTGATCTTGATCACGACGAGGATGATCATCATGGAGCCATGATCATCTCCCCATCTACTCAAGATCCTCTCCACAAGATGGAGTCTCCTCCAGTATCCATAGTTGTCCCCACAAAGCCCCTCCAAGTTCCCATAGCTTGGGAACCTGTCTTGGATCACGAGAACAAGAAGATCCCCGATCTTGATCCGGATCCAACACATACTCTTCTGATGGACTCTGTTCCATCACCAAGAGTATCCTTCAAGAAAATGAAGGAAACTGAATTTGCCGACATGAAAATTGACCCACCAGCGAGGATCACGAGTCCTGTGCCTTCGATAGATGCTGCCAATTGCGAAGGAAGCGATGACTTGCAAGTGAAGAAAGAAAATGATGATGTGACGAGTGAACATGGTGGTGAGAAACTGAATTTATGGAAGATTGGTCTTAACGGGATTGGAGCTGTTTGCTCTTTTGGTGTTGCAGCTGCTGCTGCTACAGTATGTGTCTTGTTTCTCGGACACAACAACATCAAAGTTTGTAAGAACAAGAACCAAAAGCTTAGGTTCCAGATTTACTCCGATGATCATAAGGTAATTTCAAATTTTATGAAAATATTATCTTGATTAATTAATAATATTCATCTTTGTTAGTGTTCTTAATCCAAAAAAACGGAAGTTAATAATGGATATATAACTGATTCCTGCTAACAATATTTGAATTAAATGATCAAATACATAGAGTTTTGTATATTGATTAATTAGTATAGATATGAAAGCTAGGGGACTGGTACATTTGGATAAAACTTATAATTTTTTTTTTTGAATGTTAGTGATATATGATGATTATAGTTGGTAATTGTCTGCTTGTAATAATTGGGTAAATTGTTATTCTAGAAACTCTGATTAGATTAGATGATTGTTAACTTTTTGATTAAACTATAGAAATATGTTTTGGATATTTTAATCCAAGTAAATGACTATGATAAGGTAAAACTTACGTGTTTAAGTGAACAATCTCTGTAGTTGAAAAAGACTTATTCTTGGTTAAGCTTTATACGTTTCGTATTGAGATTGTTTCTAGCTTGTGCTAACGTCAAACTTTATTCCAAAAAGAAAAAGAAAAAATCTTCGTTTATTAAATAACACCCATTAACACGTATCAAACTTATTGATAAAATATATATTCACTTTATTTAATCTAATGGTGAATGTAGATGATGAATGAAGCTGTCATGAATCATGCAACAAAGGTTAATGAAGCAATCTTTGCAATGAAAGGTGTTCCTGTCGTAAGAGCTCAAATATCTTTTGGAGGTTACTACGATGAACTTTAAATCTCAACCAAAATCAAAGGGATCAAATCGAGTTCACCCTCATCTACCAGCTTCATAAGTTCAATAGTTTATAGCGTGCATGCATGATTCTTGTCAATAATATTTTGTAAATTTTGTTGAAATCCGATATCTGTTGTTAGATCATTGTAAAATTTCATGTAAAATGTTAATTGTTTTTGAAAGAACCCATCTATTATATTAAAACAGAAGTCATGACTCACTTCATGTGTGATTTTTTAGTTTGGACCATCCATAAAAAAATTATTTAATTTTGCATAACATCATTATAATATCTTTTCATATCTTTAATTTTTATTTGAAATACAAATCTTATATATTAAAACAGAAGTCATGACTTGACTTCATGTGTGATTTTTTAAATTTTGGACTCATTCCTAGAAAATAGGGTTATATTTAATTCTCTAATCTTATCATTATTATATCTATAATAACAAATATACGTTTAAAAATTTGGTTTGGGTAAATTACTCCACACCTTCCAACTTAGTCACGCAAAATATGTCAATAGATATAAGTTTAAAAATCTTCTATTATTTATAAGGAAATATGTCAATAATAGTTAAATGCATCCACAATATATTAACAAAAATCACAGATTCATAATATGGAATATTTATATATATGTCGAATAGATCTAACAGAATATTCACCCTCCGATAACGCAAAATATGTCAATTGATATAAGTTTAGGAATCTTCTATTATTTATAAAGATACATTTAGTTTGGGTAAATTACCCCACACCTTCGACATATTTTATTATCTTTGCAAATTAAAGTATACTAATATTTAATCAAGCTCTATTTATGTCATTTTATTTAAAATGAAATACTAATTTAACAAACAATAAAATATAGAAGAAGAAATAAACACATGTTTGAAAAACATATATAATATAGAAAAATTGAAACAGTATATTTGATTAAAACACGTATTATATAATATTATTATGTTTGAAAAACATTTACTATACACATTGTAAATATGTAATTACTATAATATATATCAATTTATAAGTGAAAACAGAATGTTTATATAACTAACTATAAAAGAAAACAAACACCCGCGCGGTTGCGCGGGTCAAAATCTAGTATATGATTATATCTTTTAGTAGTTCAATTTCACGTAGTTTTTTTTTGTTTCTCCAAAACAAAAGCATTTCATGACTATATAAGAAAGTTTGCTAGAAAATTTTGGGAGAGTCGTTCTCGAGAAGGCCCAACCACACTCCCTTGTTAGGTCCATTACCAATCCTTTACAACAGCATAAATAACATAAAAAATTCATTGTCATTTTGCCCACTGGTCGGGAAAAGGACAGAAAGGTAATTTCCACGACTGGTCTAAAAATCATACCGTCGATATTTAATAATCGAACGGTCGATAAAGATCCCTCCATAGACGGCCATAGAGATGTAATATAAGAAAGATGCCCTAAACAACCTTTGCCTCCACAATACAGAGCCGTGAAGTCAGACATAGAGATAGAAAAAGAGACACAGACGTTTTTATTTTCGCTGAACTCGCCGGAGAAATTAGAAGCTACGGTGATCTTCTCCGGGAAAATCATCTATCTCTTGTAAGTTAATTTGTACGCTGATTCTCTATCTTCTCAAACTAAATCGATTTCTCTTTTGGATTTTGAGTTCTTAATGATGAAAAAATAATCATTTCTTTTTTAAACTAATAATATGAATTTCTCGTTCAGACAAGCTCGAGAAATGTCGTCGTTAGAGCAAGAACTGTTCTTACAATGGGGAAACAAGAAGAGAATGAGACGTCTTAGAGCTAACAACAAGGACAAACATATCCCAAAACGAGAATCTAACTCTTCATCTCCTCAAGAAACCTTCCTCTTTCAGTCCTCAAGGTTCTCCAGGTTCAAAAACATTCCTCTTTTTTTATTTCTCCCTTAATTGAAGAAAGCCAAGAGTTAATTTTCATTTTTTATTTTTGTAGAGGATCAGAAGGTCCAATACTCAGATCTGGACTACCTCCTGAGAAAGAGAAAGAGGAGAGGTATTATACTACGAGAGGTGTTGTTGATAGCATTGGGAACAATGGAGAAGATAGCAATAGCAAGGGAGAGGAGAGTATGTGGCCAAAGCTGTTTGTGACTCTGTCAAGCAAAGAGAAGGAAGAAGATTTCATGGCTATGAAAGGTTGTAAACCTTCACATAGGCCTAAGAAGAGAGCCAAACTCATTCAAAAAAGCTTACTTGTGAGTTTCATATTTCCTTTTTATTATCTTTATATGTTTAGTAGTTTTGAGATGAATATATTTGTGTTATACAGTTGGTGAGTCCTGGAACATGGTTGGCTGATATGTGTCCAGATAGATATGATGTTAGGGTCAAGAAGAGTTCTAAGAAGGTATTAACTTCATAAACGTTTTTTTTATTTTAGCATTTTCGGAAGTGGAAATTTTGATGTCGCCTTTATTAAGCAAACACACTATGATTTTCATGAAGAAAGCTCTGTTTGTGTTGCAGAGACGAGCAAGAGGATTAAAAGCAATGGGGAATGTTGAGAGCGATTCAGATTGAGGAGGAGCTTGTGAACATTGTTTAGTTTATTACTAGAAAATCTTTGCGTATTGACTTGAGCTAACTTTTGCTTTGTGGTGTTCACTTAAAGCAATCTTATAAAAGTAGTTTCTCTCAGTTGATCATTTTGAACACTAAGGAAACATCATTTCTTATGTGGGTAATGTATGTAGGCGCTTGTTGTTGTAGTTTGCAAACAATCTTATTCTATTGTAACTTACTGTTTCAAATAATCGATTTTGGTCCCATCTTCTGACATAATTTTACAAATAAATAAAAAATTATTTTACAAAATAAAAGTGTTGAGAATTTTAGAAAAAAAAAAAGATTATCATCACATAATTGCAGACTTTTATTGGTACATGTCATAATGTTACCTTTTATTGATGTTAATTTCAATTATATTTGGGCAAAAAAGGACACGCTTAGGAGGACAATGCCTATCACATAAGAATGTATCATGAGCTAAAAACACCAAATAGCTTGGCATTGTATATTACTTCTTCATCTTCTTGCATCAGTCATCGTCAGAGAAGGTTTTCTTCTCACCGCAGAATAATTCAGTTAACTCTGGTTTCTCCAGATAATCTTCTTCGGTCGGAAGGCTTTCTTGTCGAATATACTCTTCGTTCCTGGAAAATATTGACAACCCGTTTTTGTTATCTCTCCCATGTATATTTACGAAAAAGCTTTTAACCCAATGTGATGTGATGACAAAGAAACTCAAAAGTCAAAAACATAGTAAAATCCCTTACCAGAGCCTCTCTGCTTCCCTGTACCTAAATCAACAACAAGACTAATAGCATTAGTATCTTATGTAACGAGCTTTTATATAGCAAACAAATTAGAGAAACAATTTACTTGGGTCGGATAGGGTATGGAGCCATCTCAACCACGTCGGAGAGAATTTTCAGAGTTCTACTATTATCGTAGAGCAACGCCTTCATTGCTTGGTCAGCAGAAGCAAACTCAACAAAGCAACAGCCCACATGCTCACCTTCGCGGTTCACAACAAGTCGAACACGACAAACTTGTCCAACTTTTTTGTAGTAATGAAAGCTGTAAATGTGGAGGGCAAAATATTAGTCATGAATCATGATCAAGAGGAAATTAAAAGTGCTACTACTTACAGATTATCTGATCGTATTCTGGGAGGGAGATTGTAAACAAAGAGTGTCTTTTTTGTTAAGGCTACTTCCTCAGCAAAATCATGATGAGTTTCATCAAATCGTTCATCCAAATCTTGATGAGTTTCATCAAATCGTTCATCTTCTTCGATCAGACGCTTTTCTTGTCCAAGGTAGTCTTCGTACCTGGATGATCGAAAATCAGTGTGATCTCAATAGGTATACCAAGGACATCACTTTTAAATTACAAATAGTTAAATCTCTTACCAAACCTTGTGATCGATGCAATACCTAATTAACAAAAAAATATATTAATGTTAGGTTTTCTTTAATGGCTTAAAAAAAAATTAAGCAACAAGTTACAACTAGTGTTGATTTACTTGCGATACCGACGGTTTGTAAATCCCTCATACGAAAAAAGAAATATTCCTTGTTCGTGCAAATACTTTTTTTTCAACGCCTACAGTATAAAAACACTTAATCAGCAAAATTACTACTTAAAAATAATTTAAGTCATTACTCTCTCTCACCTTCTCTGCTTCTTCAGCAGAAGAAAACTCAACATAGCCAATGCCAATTTGGTTGCCCACACGGTTTATAGGAAGTCGAACATGAACAACTTTTCCAACATCTTTAAATAAATCGATGCTGTCAAAAAGGAGGATAGCAATATTTGTCATGAGATAAAAAAAACTTGCTCCAAGAAGAAGTTAACTAAAGGCGCTACTTACAGATCTTGTATTTTAGTTGGACGAGGGAGCATGTTGACAACGATCGTCTTATTTCTTACAGCAACTGCCTGAATTTTAACAGCCAAATGTGTTAGCATGACTTTAAGCAGACAAAAAGTAGCTCTCATGGAAAAAGTTATGTTTCTTGGGAGTTTCATCAAAAGTCCTACCTCTTGATAAAGTCTTCCTTCTGGCTCATCTTCGTCTCTCACAAGGACCCATCGTCGAAGATAGTCTTCGTAACTGAAATTTCAAGAAACCAAAGTGAACTCTCCATGTATACAAAAAAAAAAAAAATCACCAAAAATAGTTAAATCCCCTTACCAGAGCTTCTCTGCAAAGTTGTACCTAATTAACAAAAAGAAAAAAATACATATCATTTAGTCTTGTGCTGCTGTAATGATGTTAAAACTCAAGCAAATAAATTTACTCGGGTAGGAGACGGTAGGGAGGCAGCTTAGCAACGTCAATAAAAATCTTGTGATCCAGCAAATATTCACCATTCATTTTTTCCAGCGCCTTACGTGCTTGGTAAGCAGAACCAAACTGGACAAAGCCATAGCCTACATGCTTGCCCTCGGGATTTACAATAAGTCGAACACTAACAACTTCTACAATATGACTGAAGCAGTCGATGCTGTAAAAAAACCTCCAAAATATCAGGCAATGGAAGCGGAAAATTACAGGTTTTTGTACTCTTACATATGAAATACTTTTTTTTTTTTTTTTTTTTTTTTTTTTTTTTTTTTAAATTATACGATTCTATTATTCAACCCGAGAACCGGGAATTCAAATGTCGATTACAAGCTTGATTTAAACAAAATTATCTAAATTCAACATCACGACACTAGCTTCGTTCGCCCACCAACCCGTGAAGGTCCCAACACGTTCCACTAGAGCGCTTTGTTAACTTTAGACTATCATTGACCGTTCTCTCCCACCGATGCTAACCACAGTAATGGTGAGGTTTACCTCGTTGCCTCGGATGCCGGATCACCGTGACATCAACGAGAGTAGCTTGTCTCTGATGATCTCCTCAAGCTCGATCTCGACATTGACTTTAAGCTCGAAAATAGCCGAAAGGGAAGGAACAGACTTACAACGAAACCTGGCCCAGGAGCCCATCAGACCTCGGATGCCACGGCCTACAACACAAAGTGAGCAAGCAGAAACCATCCAGAAAAAAAACAGGTTGTGATGCCAACCGTCCAAGTTCAAGAGTGCTTCAGTTCCTGCAAGAGATAAAGTTAGTCTGCTTAAGAAAACCAAGAGGCTTCCCAAGCACAGGGATGACTACACTTCAACTAAGTCCCCTCGCCAGAGCAAGCCAAGCTGACCCAACCAAGCTTTAATCCGACGCCTTAGCCCGGGATGGAGAACCCACCACCAGTCGTCCCACAGACTGCGACCACCAGACGCTTGGGGAAGCATCCGGTAAGTAGCAGCAGAACAAAGCACAGCAAAACCACATCTAAGTGACCCCGACAGCAAGAACCAGAACCAAGAGGAGGAGAGCCAAACCAGGAGAAAACAAAGCAGACAAGAATTAGCTGCCATAGACGACAGCTGCTCCCGGACCACATGAACTTCCAACGCTTTAACTCTGGAGAGCACGTGACCACGCAGCCAACCAGTACACACCAGGAACGTTCCTACATCAACTGTAGTCCAAGCTGAGGCGACCGCAGATCGAAGAACCCATCCGAGACGCGAAGAATGAGCTACAGGGAACCCGTCGAAACCTCTCCACACAGCAGACACCGCAGACCTCCACACCGGAAGGTACATACATCCAATAAGAACAAGGAGAGAGACTCACCCGACCTCACGCGCCGACAACACCACGCACGCCGACTAGATCTACAAAATTGAAAACGAGATCCGGCAGCGACGAACCTTAAAAGCCGACTCTGAACACATACCAGCCAACCCCGCCGTGATGCCTCTCCAGAAGACGCACCCACTGCCGGAA